TGGCATAGTGTACAGAAACATCTGTGCCGAGTACAGGCTGGAAGTCCCAAAGTCAAAATGGGATACACCTCCAAAGGTGGTTGAGAATGACCAAGCTAAGATCCTGTGGGACTTCCAGATACAAACTGACAAACTGGTAATGGCCAACCAACCGGACATAGTAGTGGTGGACAAACAGAGGAAGAAGGCTGTAGTGATAGATGTAGCATTCCCAAGCGATAGCAACATCAGGAAGAAGGAACACAAGAAGCTTGAGAAATACCAAGGGCTGAAAGAAGAGCTAGAAAAGATGTGGAAGGTGAAGGCACAAGTGGTCCCCGTGGTAATAGGAACACTGGGGGCTGTGACCCCCAAACTGGGATAGTGGCTCCAACAGATCCCAGGAACAACATCTGAGATCTCTGTCAGCCATATGAGAAAAGCAGAGGTAATGTAATTACATGAAAAATGAACAAAATAACAAACCCTAACTGACTCTTTATCCTAAGCTCTATAAAACCAAACAAGTGAAAGCAGTGGCCCTATTGCTTGTTCTCTCTCCCCATGGGTATAACTGTTATTATTGTTAATGCCCCTTTTCATCCACCCTTCTCTTTATCTTGGTCTCTTTTCTTAATCTTTACTTACAGTACATGTACAACTCCCATACAGAGTAAAATAGGGAAAGCTCATTCTTTCTGTATATTCTGTCTCAGCTGCTTCCTGTTAATACACTATTATATATATGTACCTCTGCAGTCAGCTGATGTTTCCCTTCTAACTCACTGCTAATCATCTGCCCTGTTCATATACCAGTGTGCACTCATATACTGCCAGATTGTCTCATTTGTCATAGTAAAACAGCATCCCGGTATTTTACTATAACATCTCTGTTTCTTTCTAGGACTTGCCTGGATTTTAGACTTCATCTTTGTCTGCCCCAAACACTGCCACTATTTGGCTGCTTACTGCCTTGTTAATGATGATTGCCTGTCTTTTTGACTATGACTGTGTTCACCAAAGACATTAAAAGAAACTCTTTTAGACTGAAATCTCTGATTGAGTCATTCTGTCAGGTCTGCTCAGCACGGCCTGCCTCTCTGCCTCCTTTCTCTCTCTCGATCTACGGGATCGGCACCTCAGCTGTGTTGCATTCAGTAATGAGTGACTCATTTGTCGGTGTGCACAGCTGAGGTTCATTCCTATGATTACCGGCTCCTTTATTTAAACCTCTGGCAGGCGCTCCGTCTTCGCCAGAGCATTATACTGAAATACCTGTAGACATACCTGTATTCATGGTATGTGTGATACGTCTTTTTGATTTCCATGTTGACAGTTCCTGTGCTGTGGATTTCATTTTGTATGTTGGTTATATGTTGTTTTTTGTGTTATACGTTTATAGAAGTCCATGCTGACAGTTCCTGTGCTGTGGATCTCTTTGTATGTTTTTTTTCCATGAGTTTAGCTGACAGTTCCTGTGCTGTTGATTTCATTTTTTTCGTCCGCTACTCTGCTTCCCTGACGGCATTTGCTAATCCTCCTGGTTGTTCTGTTTACTCACCTGTCCATCCTAGTCCTCTAACTCTCCTGGTTCCTGCCGTTCTTCTGTCTACTCATCTGCTCGCTCCGGTTCTCCTCAGCCGTCTCTGCCCTATCCTGGTTCAGTACTGTATATTGCTTCTGTTTCTTTGTCTACGTCCATTAAACCACCTTTTTTTTTACTAGCACCTGGGTCTGCACTTTTGACTCCTACCTCAGTTCTCTCTCACCCTCCTGGTAAGGGGGACTAAACCATAACACATTCTTTTTTGCATCCTTCAAGTCAGTGACAAAAAAAAAAGCTGACCACAAAAAGCATTTACAAAAAGATTAACATGATTATTTCATGAATTCCTTCTTATCCCATTTCACAATGAGCATTCCTTTGTCTGTCTGCATTGTTTACTGCCTGTTAATACTGCTTATTTTGTTATATTACACAGCCTTATGCTGGTTTACTGTTAACTTGTCCCTTGCAGGGGGATATGTACATACACATCGAGAGCCGATGTACCAGAGTCAAATTCCTAGTGTGTCCAACACACCTGGCCAATAAAGCCGATTCTGATGAATGTAACTTTAAAGTGACTCACTTTAGCTGTCTTTGGTGTTTATATGTAACTGTTAGAAACAAGTATAGAATTAGCGTAGGCTATAAACCATCTAAACCTTCCTCTTAGTGTTTATTAAAGGAATATTATGGCATTGAGGTTATCTGACGTCATAAGTACTCAACAGTACCTGTTATGAAATGATGACAGCTATAGACTCACAGTGACAAAACATCAATTCACAAAATTCATTAAGGAGGCTAAAATCCCAAGGACAAAAACTCGACAACTCAAACTCAAATTCTAAAGTGACCATGCAGTTCTTGTGTATAAGCTCTAAATTCACTTAGGTTTTTTATTATAAATAAATTCTATGTACTCCATGCTGTGCATTTCTATTTATTATTTATGAATTTGTTGTGTCTGTCTCACCCGTATAAAGCACTGGAACTTCTTGTCTCTGGCCAGCAGTCTCTTGTACAATTTGACAGCCTGCAAGTGGCGACTACAGAACTCTGCATAGGTCTTCTGCATGTCATCTGCACACTGGCCTGAGAACTGGCAGAAACACACACAAGTTGTTTTGTTTCTGTGTGAAAGAAGACTTGTGCCTTGTCAGACCGAGATTTGGGTTGTCAAACTAACAAACATTTGCTGCTGCATTACATTTAGACAGTGAAATTCTAAAGCTAAAATGCTGTAAATATTGTATAAAAGATTATTCTACGGCTAGTTTATTTGTATTAATAAATCCTAAAAATACCCTGTTGAAAAACATGTGTTCTGATGTGAAAGATGTTACAACTTCTGCTAAACCACACAATTAAACAAAATGTTATGTCATTACTAAATACAGTGACATTTTGTTTTCACATCTGTGCCGCTGTACCAGTCTGAACAGGGTATCTGCTGTGTGTATGTGACGATGCATGGCGGTCACCTGCTCTAGTAGAATGTCCCCCAGCTGGTGAATGGTAAAGTTGCGGCTGGATCCAGACTGCAAGCTGTTGTTGCGTCGCTGGAGCAATTGTGCTAAGAAATGAGAATGTATCCTGATCAGTTGGTCCAGGCAGGGGAACATGGCATGCACAGTGCTGGTCTCCAGCTGAAGCTCCTCCAGCATGCCCTGCCGGAACACCTTTTCCATGATATACAGCGTTCGCATGTGGTGCAGCTCTGTCTGAATCAGCTCTGAGAGGGACACACACCCACATCAGACACAAACACGCACACATCAAAGTCACACAACAGAATGTTGTAATAATAGAGTACTGAACATGCAATAAGAAACTGCACCTCTGATAATTTTAAATACATTATACAATCATGTCTAGCCACACTAAATAGTGTCTATGTAGTACTTTAATCTAGGTACTGTATATTCAGCAATACCTTAATTATCTGTACTATAGCAGAGAAAAATAAGGGTCATTAAACTACTGCTGAAAAATTGATGATGTTCTTGTCACCATAGATGACATCCTGCCTCTTGATGATATTTTTGCAATGTGTCTGCAAATAGCTGCTGTCCACGGCCATACTCCATGAGTCCGCTTTAAAGTCCTGGCAATCAAGCTCCAGCTCCTCTAGCACCGAAGTGTAGTAGATGTCACCTAGTCAAATGGAAACCATCAGTATGAAAAATATTTCAGATGAATAATAAACTGTCAAGTTGTAAACAGACAATGGATTTTTCATTTGTGCCTTTGTTGAGAAGACATCTAGTTAATAAAATAAAAATAACCAAGGTCATCAGATCAAGTTTTAAGTCCAACTGATTTTATAGTTAGTCAGCCCCTTGCAGTCAAAATGATGAATATCACTGTTCACTTTCATTTACTCAGTTTACCTATCCCACTAAAATGATTTACCAGCTAATTTAACTGAGGGTGTGCACAGACAAGCAGCGTTCTGACATTACTGTGCAGCTGCACTGTACTCCCTACCAACTAGTCACCGCCATCTGACATACAGTAACCGGTGCTACCTATATAACTGCCCGTCTACAGAGCAACTATGGGTCAGGTCATCCAAGAATTGCAGGCTGTGGAAATGCTCCTACTGAACCCCGGGTTGTAGTTCTGTGTGCACATTTCACAATGATGTCACTACACTGTAAACTGAACACTTTAATAAGCAGCGTGACCATGATACTTTTGAAAGAATAATCAAGATTTGTAGTCCACTAGCCATCCACTGCCCTTTAAAGCATTAGAAGTTCAGCTAAACCCAGCTGAAGTGCCTGCAGTCTTGTGAGAACAGGAATAGCAAGAGATTTTTGGGGTAACATCTCTTGTTGTTATGGGTTACAGTGGATCGGCAGATTGTTTTCAAAATAATTTTACTATAACTAAGAACTTTTCCATTTTCCAATCATTTTCCTATGATGTATAGTTTGAATGTTCTGATACCATCATCATTGAGAGACTCCACTGACATAGCTCTGGCCCTGAAGCTGAGGGAGTCTGTGGACTGTGACAAGATCCTGCGCAGCCCCAGAGGAGAGTCATCATTCAGAGTCCTATAATACACACACACACACACACACACACACACACACAAAAAAAAACAGTAATACTGCTGTGAATTTTATATTGTGCATTAGAGACTTGAGAAACCCCCCGCAGAAGCTCAAGGAGCTGCTGAGATCCTGCACCATCTCAGCACATGTAACATAGGTATATTATAAGGTAGCATGAGGCTATCAGACATGTAGGAAAGTTAGTCTATGAGTAAACTTTCATTTTTGAAACAAACATTTATCCAACTTAAAGTAAACATTAGTTGTGTTTTTAGTCCTCTATACAGTGGGTAAGTTCTCAGACCCTTTCAGGTTTTCCACACTTTGTTTCAGATTCCTTTTAAAATGGATTCATCTCAATTCTTTACTCAATCTACACACAATACTCCACAATGATCAAGTCAACACAGGTTTTTGGAGTGTTTTGTAAATTAGTTAAAAATTAAAAGACTGAAATATGCCATTTACATAAGTACTCAGACAATTTGTTTTGACACTTCCTACTCCCATCAGTGCAAGTCAACACAGGTTTTTGGAGTGTTTTGTAAATTAGTTAAAAATTAAAAGACTGAAATATGCCATTTACATAAGTACTCAGACAATTTGTTTTGACACTTCCTACTCCCATCAGTGGTCCTTGAGATGCTTCTACAGCTGGACTAGAGTCCACCTGTACCTAATTTAATGCATTGGATATTAGGAAAGGCACACACCTGTTTATACAAGGTTTCACAGTCAGTGGTGTATGTCAGAGTGAAAACAGTCATGAGGTTGAGAGAACTGTCCACAGACCTGACAGGACTGTATCAAGACAGATCTGGGGAAGGACACAAGGACATTTCTGCAGCATTAAAAGTGCCCCAGAGCACAGGAGTGAGTCAAGGGGTCACTATGAATGAGATCCAGAGTTCCTTTATGGAGATGGGAGACCTTAAGAAGGACAACCATCAGTGCAGCCCTCCACCAACCAGGCCTGATAGAGCAACCAGACGGCAGCCATTCCTCACTAAAAGGCACATGACAGCCCTCTGGGAGTTTGCCATGAGAAGCATCTGGTCTGATGAAACAAAGATGGAACTATTTGGCCACAATTCCCAACAGTGTGTGTGGAGAAAACCAGGCACTGAGCATCAGCCCACTAATACCATCCCTACATCCCTAAAAATATTAAGCAATTCTGAAGGAAAACCTTCTCCAGAGTGCTCAGGATCTCAGGCTGGTATGAAGGTTTACACTTCAACAAGACAACAACCCAAAGCATACGGCCAAAAAAACAGGAGTGGATTCAGGGAAACTGTGTGAAAGTCCTGGAGTGGCCCAGCCAGAGTCTGGACCTGAACCCAACAGAGCATCTCTGGAGAGACCTGAACATGGCTGAGCACTGACACTCCCCATCCAACCTGGTTGACCTTGAACGATTCTGCCAAGAAGAATGGAAGACATTTTCAAACGAAAGCTGCTGAGCTTGTAGCTTCGTTCTAATAAGACTTGAGGCTGTCGTTACCGCCAAACGTGCTTCAGCCAAGTAACCCTTGTCAAAATCAAAATGTAGTGTACAATGCGAGTTCTTAGGATCGAGATCAGCATGAATCCAAGCATTCTGTGTTCCGTCCATATTACCTTTAAAGCCAGATGTTTGCTGTGAAACTGCCATCAAAAACCGCCTGCATGCAAAACCCCACAGTGTTTTGAGAGAATGACCCACAAAATATAAAAAAGCACCAGACTACAGCTTCAGTTAACTCCTGGTAGCATCAGTGAGAGACTTGACTTTCAGAAACTGACATTTTGTATTTCAATGACATTACTCCTCTAAACTACTGCTGTTGTTCAAAACAACAGTTTTGTATTCATACTACAGCTAAGAAAAGAAAAAGACTTTCTATCACATTGGGACTAGACTGATATGTTCTCTTTGTAGATGATATACACAGATATACAGTCCACCACACAAAATATTACATTTATATACAAACTAAAAGTGAATGAAGTCTGCACAGCAAGTTATATTACTCAAGAAAAATGTGGGTAAAATCAAAACTGTATCACTAATTCATACTGGTGCGCTGAGAAACACTGTCCTTGTGCACATGACCTAGAGTAGGGCTCGGGTAGTCTGTACCTTATCCTTGGGTAGGAATTCTAAGAAAAATGTGGCTTAACTGCCTGCAACTTAATTGGGGTTATGAAGTCTGTTTCACGTTGAATTGTAGCTGTGAGACTCACCCTACAATGTTATTGGTGGATACACTCTTGGACAGAGACAGAGCAGAGCGACCACGGCGGGGTCCCAGCAGGGACTGCCGGAAGCTGTCAGAAGGGTAGATGGCTGAAGTTGGACGATCACGCATTCCTGGAGCTGTGGAAGAAAGAAGTTTTGCAGATAGAGTAAGAGAACAAGATATGGAGGGAGAGAGACAAGGGGAAAATAGGAATATCTCAGCATGTTTAGGAGGAAGGCAAAACAAATAGGAGGACTCTGATAATGTAGAAGAAAGCCACAAAAGAGGAGAACAATAGAGCGAGGAAGAACAGAAAAATAGGAACAGCAAAAAGAGAAATAGCTCAGGTAGGAGGAATAGACTGTATGTATGTATAAGACAAGTTCTCACTTTTTGTGCGCAGGGTGACATTCTGCAAGGCCGAGTTATTCCTCATTAGAGCCGTCTTCTGCTGCTGTGTAAGTGAAGGACACAAAGTAGCACGCACTGTATACATGACAATCATTTTGTATGTCATCATATTTGTGTTGCCTACTAGTGCCTTAAACTGTGTGTGATGTTACAGTATAATATACCCTGCTGTATATAACATCACACACACACACAAGCAGTCAAAAGGTTAGAAATGCAAAGTGTGCCCAAACTTTAGTATTTTACATTGTAACAAAAACACAGAAAACCCCTACCCTGCCACAAGCAAATAAACTTCCAGAAGAAGATGCATGTCCAGATATATCTTCAGTGTCCACAGCTGCTATGATGATATCCACACGGGCTAAACTTGCCCATACATAGTCACAGTACGGGCTAAAAGTTAAGCCAAACAAATGAGATATTTCCTCCCAAAATGTTTCAACTTTAGGGGATGTAAGATTTGATTCTTATAGGCTCTAGTTACTTTATAAGCTTTAGTTACTTTTCATAACTTTAGTTTCCTTTAGTTACTTTACAGTTCATTTTCTTTTAGTTACTTTTCATACGGTTATTTGCCTTGCTTATATATATTAAACTGTACTGAATGAAACTTTGGAACTGTATACTGTAAATTCTGTAGAGAAAGGATGTCTGTATCTCCAAGTAACCAGACAGCCTATTTTACATTTTAACAAAGACCTGTTGGCCGGTTTTTCATTTCATAATTATCTAATCTCTTTAATCTTTTTAAACAGGTGTGGAAATAATACAACAGGGACTAAATCCTGTACATGTTTAAAACATCAATAATAAGACATGCTGATATCTGGTGTAGCCTGTGTCTTACCCTCTGTTTCATTTTCGTGCAGTTTGGCAAAGTGTCTCTACAGCGGTTGTGGATAGTGACATTACATGCTGGAAAAACAAAGACATAGGACATAAGAGAGAACATTAAGAACACATATTTCCTTCTACTGTTTCAGCATTGCACCAGTTTACTATCTTATAACAATCTAGCTGGATGTAACCGTCTTTGAGTTTCACTGAGACCTTTGATGCATATCTGGCTCTCGTTTCTCTGTTGTCCACAAAAATACTTTAGAAAAAAACCTACTTAAAATGATTCGACTTTACTGTACTTACAAATCAAGAGCAACAGTGTTGTTCTGCTGGCTGGCAAGTGATTCCTTTGTAAAGTTAATTCAATGTAAATGATACTGAATAACATCTACAGTCCTATTTCTGTAGGAACATACATTCTAAAATTTAGCAGTCTTGTTAGAAAATGCATGTGACTATGTTTAAAAGTCGGTACAGTATTCCCTCTTTTTGTCGCCATCTCCCCACCACATCCTTGTGAAAACACAGTGAGGAAATGTTAGACTTTTAAAAACAGGAAGACACCTGTGATCTTTCTAACTCAGACTGAAGCCAGATATTAGTTCCTCCTGAACTTTAGACATTTCACACAGAACAGTGTCTTTGTCTCACATCACTTACATTGCAATTTCATTATAGGATATCTTTGCAGACAGTACAGACAAGAGGATATATTACAACCACCAAAAATGCTTTCAATGTACAGAAAGGTATGAAAGTATTGTATTAAGACATTAAAATGTTTAATCCACCCCTTTTTTTTTTTTTTACAGAAACCATAATACATCACATCAGACAGTGGAAATCTAAGCTGAACAACCATTAGAATGATCCACCAACATGATCAACATAAGTAAACACAATGACTTAAAAAACCTTGGGCATAAATGTTTTGCTAAGAGGGTTCATACATTTTCAAGTAGGCATTATATTACATTGCAAGAACAAATTATTCTGAAATAATCACAATTATAACTTTTAAAAAAATTCAGATACTTCACACATTATGAAATTATTTTTAAATGGCATTTTCTCATAACAATATGCATTACAAGCAATCTCTTTTCTCTTGTGTGTGTGGCCTGGTATTACTCACATTGTAGGGACATAAATGTGTTATATAAAGCCACAGAGTGGGGACGCCACTGTCAAGGTTTGAGCTTGGGAAGGACTCAAATGCAGACACAGACTAAAGAATAGTATTTAGTAGATTTTAATATAATTGATATGGGACAGAGAGATAGATAGTACGACTTCAAGGGCTCAACCTGACAAAGCATAACAAAGACACCTACCACTAAAGACTTTAGTCAGGGAGCTAAATAACAAACTAAACTAAGAGAACCCAAAGGAACAAACCAAAAATCCAAGATGGCAGGTAAGTTCAAAGTCCATAAATGAGGCAAGGAGAAAGAGTCCAACAGTTAATATGCAGGTATGCCCACAGTGTGTTGCACCAATGAACCAGCATCTAACTGAAGGAAGTGATGAGAATATAAAGGCTTGAGACTTGGAGACAAAGAGCAACAGGTGAAGGCAATGGGTGGTAATCAAGGACTGGAGTAAAGCAGGTGAGATGACACAAAACAGGAAGCCCTTTCAACATTAAAGTACCAAACAGGAAGCAAGGCCAAAAGCCCAACATCGACATCATTATGGGGACAAAAAGCAGGTTAGAGTAGGTCTCCAGGAAATGAATGTAAGTCAGTGCAACATCCTCTGAAGTGTGTGCGTGGTCTCTAAGTCAAAGCAAAGTAATTCTCTCCCACACACAGTTTTTCCATAAATACCTTCTTAGTGAAGTATGAGCTGACTGAACTTTTACTATTGAGTAAGTTTGTTTTGCTACACTATTGTTAGGTATTTTTAGTCAAATAGATATTGGTTAGGTACTTGTTGTATTATAAATGTTTTTAGTGTAGACAGGATGTCTAGCTCAGGCTGTTAAATGCTTACTCATTTTCATGAGTTACTCCAGGTTGTTTATGGTCAAGGATAACTAGATAGAGAGTTGATTACTGTATGACATGTTTAATCATAATCATAATATCTTCTTATGCCTAATGTCAGGACATGTCACTGAATGTCCTGTCAGAATGTTTTTAG